AACAAATATACGCGATTTAAATCCGGAAAAATAGTTTCATTTCCTATTAATAAAAATTCATTCAATAAAATAATTTGTAAAACTTAATGTAGCGCAAATTGGAATGTTTTCTTTGTAAACTTAAAAATAAGGTATTTAATCAATAACTATTGTAACCATAGTGAAAAAATAGTGTGGTTTGCATCAATATTAGACATAACTGGTTGAAGACTGTACCAACTCAGTCAACCGTGACCATGTGACCTGTAAAGGGCCCGAAACGTTGGTTTGTTTGAAAAAACAATTATACGCGATTTAAATCCGGAAAAATAGTTTTATTTCCTATTAAGAATGTCTAGCTCGATTATTTCCAAAGCGGTCGACATCAACCCTCAAAATGCTTTTTGGAAAATAAATATAATAATCCACAGATTGATCTATTTACTATTGTAAATATAAATGACGCACACACAAGCGAAACCCTGTGACGGGTGTCATGGACACAGAAATAGAACATCACAAATTACACCCAAACTCACAAGAGAAATAAATGTAGGCCATACAAATATTTCTCCCGGCCCGGGAATTCGAACCCGGGACCTCTGCGTTGCAGACCAGCCGGTAACCGTCCGGCCACTGAGGCAGTAAATTGTACTTATGTATTTTTACATTTCTCACCATTGACATTTAGCTTCGACCAAAAATTACTTATAATACTAATAATTAAAGAACACAAGAGTAATGAAGTAGCCTTTCTCGTAAATATTAATTATTTTTTATATATATTATTATGTCGAATTTTGTACAAATTCACTTAAAGATAATAGTAAATAGTTGGGCAGATACATACATACAAATATTACTACAAATGTGAAAATAAGCGTGTACCATAATTAATGTACCGGTACGCTTTCGAGTAATTTTGATGCTTTTCACAAAGACAAAATTAGCTTTTGTTTTGTGATCTTCCTAAAAAAATACATTTGACATTATGAAAATTCAAGCTAACGTTATTTCGGGCAAATTTATTTTCTGACTTCTGATAGGTAATCTCAAGCCGTAAAACGAGTACAACAATATTTTGTTAGTTATTTTAACGTTTAATAAAAAAATCATTTTAAAAATACGATTAAAATCAAAGCGACTCTATAGTTTCTTTGTTCTAAATATTTCAATCGCTTGTGGTTCGAACAATTGAAAATGACCAAGAAGTTTATATAAGCTTCTTGAAACTGACGTAATGGGTCTCTTTCCATCTTTTGCGCATACAATATGTAGAAAAAGGACAGTTAGCTATTTGATTATTTTGTGCTTTAGTAATATATATTTACGATTCATTTATATATAAGTTAAATGCTATAAAACTGTACAAAATAACACTTTTCAATGAGGACTATGACAACACAATATATTTGTTTAATGAAAATACACTTTACTGAAGTAATTTTTACAAGTTATTATTATTGGTACTGCATGATTGACAACCGCGCTGTCAGTCGAACAAACGAAGACTGTTGCGCGATTGACGCTCTGCGATTTTAACGCCCTACAGGTGCGGACACTTTTTAGCGCGCCCCCGACGTCCATTTATTGGTAGGTCATTGTTTCTCACTCTAAGGTTACACTTATCTAGTACCTCTGTGTTAGCTGTCAAATACACATAGAGGAGGATGTGTTATATTTTTCTGTATCTAATGGAGCAATAAACATTTTTGACGAAACTCCACTTATGCCATTCTTGTTTACCTTGTTTACCATGGGATTTGAAGTTAATGAATTCTTTTAAAAAACAATATGGGAAAGGCGCCTGGCTTGCCCGTACATAAACAAAAAAAAAATGACGCATGGTCTATAAGACAACAACTCTTGTGAACCTCTGCTAGAGCTGATCAAATTTAAAATTGTCGTTTTGAACTGTAGACGAACCTTTTAACTGCCTCCGTGGCCGAATGGTTACCATGCCGGACTGTCACGCAGAGGCCCCAGGTTCGATTCCCGGGCCGGGAGAAATATTTGTATGGCCTACATTTATTTATCTTGGGAGTTCGGGTGTAATTTGTGTTGTGTGGTCATGGTTTCCTGGACCAACTAGAAGTTTTAGGTTTATTAAAATTTTTGTAGATAGTAGGTATTTCTAAATACAACAAATAAAATAATTCTGATTCTTAAAATTCACCATAAATAAAACAATTCCGATTCTTAGGGTCGTATTCTAGAACTCTACTCAATGCTCAAGTCACGACTTGAGTATGATTCAAAGCACTAGAAATCATACTCAAGTCCTTCCCATTAGGGTCCTATTTCCAGTGCTTGAAATCATACTCAAGTCTGCTCAAAACCTGACTTGAGCATTGAGTACAGTTCTGGAATACGACCCTATGTATGTCCATGGCACCCGCGACACAGAGTTTCCCTAGTGCGGGGCAATGTTGAGTGTGTGCGTTATTATTATTATTACCTTATATTCTTTTTTTTAATATACTCGTAAATAATTGGAATAAATGGAGTGAATTCCGTTGTTCTGGTACTCACAGTACCGGGAATTCCCTAGTTTGAGATCAGGCAATTGGTGTGGTCATATGGCACATTATCATTACATTAGTATTATTATCAATTAATTGTTTGAAACACTAATAGTTATACCTGATGAAATAAATAGCTTGCTTTTGGTTTTTTATTACTTGTAAAGAATATGCTTTAATTAATGACAATCAAAGAGTAGGAGTTACTAAAAACGGTAATATAAATTTATTACGTCACATTTTAATGACTACACATAAACAAGCAATAGTAATAATAATGTAATAATGTCAGTAATAATGTCAGACAACCTCACAAATTACCCGGTCGCAAATTACGTTAAATACCAGATCATGGAAATAACATTGGAACATCAAAACATCACACCCAGAACATCAAAACCAGAACCAAGAAATTTTTAATTCACAGTGCTAACTGGGCTACTGAAGTTATCAATAAGAAAAGTTATCGATATTAAAGACCATTTTGATAAAACGAAATGGAGCATGTTTCCACCTATTAATATCTTCAATGTTAGTGAGATATCATCTTTAGCATACTCATGGGTGAGATAAATATTGAATGTGTAAGCATGTAAGCCTGAAACAATGTGGACACTTACATTACTTGTATTTAAAGTAGATCCCAAATCGAATTCATCACCTACTAACGTGATCGTGTCTGCATTGGCGCCTGTCAATTTTTCTATAGTCTTTCGTGCATCTGCCTCACTTTCAATGTTGCCAAGGTTTCTGCTCAAAAATTCTATATCGTCTTCTAACAAGCCATCAACTAAATGACTTTGGTCATCCTCAGACTGTTTGCAAAGATCAAAGTCCTCATTCTCCAGCTTTATATCTTCGACCTTAATACCTTCAACATTAAGGTCATCAATATTCTCAACCTTGATATTATTAACATCCAATTCTTCATTCATATTCTCCACTTTAATGTCATCAACTTTAATATCTTCCATGTCTTCCACTTTTATATCTGCAAAATCTTCCTCCTTAATACAAATGTCGGCTACGTCAGCAAAATCTTTGGTATTATCTGTATTATATTGACTAGCATTAAAGTTTTCATAGCTATCCTGCTGCGGTTCCACTTTTATTTCGGTCTTAATTTCATACTGCGTACTTGTCGAAGGTTGAGGGCTGTCTGAGTTTGTTAAGTCCCCAGTCATGGCTCTTTTCGCGACATAAATCTTTATTTTCCTTAGCATGAAAGGGGGCACTTTGAAGCCGGTGAGCTCTCCAAGCATGGGCAGAGAATTATGGCGATATGCCTCACTGTGAGCGAGTTCTTCAATGTCTTCTAACACCTAAAATATGTAATGCACTATTTCTAACAAAACTTACAAAAGTACACCTTAATTACAAAACCTTAAAAATTTCATTTTTAAGAGCAAGAAGTTTTTATCTCTTGTTTACATTTTGATGCGACTATTTGGGATCAGCAATGCAAACTATATCTCAATAGATATAATCAACTCAATAGTTGACTATTATCCATAGCCAGAGTTGGCCCGCCCGGTTTCAACCAGATTTTTAACCTAAAGCCGGGATTTACCCATTTCCGCCCGAAATCGTGGACAGACACGACGAAAATGGAGTTCAGTATAATTCCATACTTATTACAAATTTCGATGTAAAAAATCTTTTTTAGACGAAAATAGGCACTCCACACGGGGCCCTCTTTGCAACCCTGTGATAAAACGAAACGGAGTATGTTTCCACCTATAAATAACTGTGGATTCGGATGTGGATGTGGATCGCTACTAAGAATACAAATTACTATTAGATTTTTAGAAAGATTGATTCAAGGGCATACGATGTAACGATTTTTTGTATCGATTTATTTCAATACGATTTTCAAACGATTGTTTCAATCGAAAAGCCAAATCGATCGAATCGTGTAGATCAGAATGCAAAGTTTTTTTTTAATAGTTAGTTGTAATAATATCATTAAATTTGAACCAGACTCGATTTACAAACATGTTTAGTCCAAAAGATTTAGTTGTAGATAGTTTCTGCCCGTCAACGAGTTTTGACCCGATTTAAATCTGGCACTAACAAAGCGCCGGGTTAAAACCCGGGCAATTGTCCATCTCTGCCCACAGTTGCATTTATAAATATTCAATTTTTACCATATCTGCTAGACAAAACTTTAACATACCATTATGTAAGTCTTGCCTCCTACAGCATTCACAAGATTATGGCTGGCAATCCATTCCTTATCTGAACTATCAGCTGGATATCTCAGCAAGCCAGCATGTCTAGTGTATAACCGACCACGCGAATTCCCAAGGCCCAACACCTTAAACCACAAAATGGAAAATAACATCATAAACAAAAAACCAAATATTGGTCAAAGTTTGATAAGATAAAAATTTATATCTATTATACAGTCAAAATTACGCATTTTCAACAACACGAAAGGTGAATATTATTTCAATATACTTGAGTACTAAATACTATAAGACAAGATATTTACAATGTTCGTTGTAATTAAAGTTATAACACTGTACAAACTGAGCCTGATTATAACTCACCACAGATTATTATACAAGTAAACATGGACTAGTCAACAATTACAAAATGTACTTACTAAAACTTAATAGAAGAAACATTTAATGTTACCTTGTGTGCATGGGACCCCATTATGAACAGAGTCTCTTGTGTCAATCTTGCTGGGTTCCATTTCTCAGGATCTCTGATGGCTGGAGAGGGCAATGGTGATGAAGAGCCACTGTCACATTTTTCCTCAATCTTAGGCCGTTTTGCATTTAAGTCTGAATCTGTTTCTGATTCCTTTCGTTTATTTTGTGGGCTCTGTAACTAATAACAAAGATGTTATGTAAATCTAAATGTATTAAAAATTATCCCTCGCTGAAATAAACAGTGATAGCAAAGCCTTTTCGTGGGTCCTACTGTTGTACAAAATTCATGACAATTTTGGTTATTAGTGTTTTGGGCATACATCCCACCCAACAACCTAAAAATTTAATTATTTCGCCAAAATCATAATTACATTGTTTTGTTTGATGAAAGTCTTTGAATCAGCGCTGTTGCTGGATTCCGAATCGCTGGTTTCGCATGGAGATGCAGTAGGCCGAGGAGGAGTGGTGTATAAAAGTCTGGTGGCATCCAACATTGCACGGCACACTGCTCTTACCTACAAATGCAAAAAAGAAACCTGTACATACTAAAATACATTCAATTGAAGTGGAAATACAATACATTCCAATAGCGAAGTAATGTAGTGTCAGCCTGCTGGCTAGTTATTTATCATATCATCAATGTCACTCATGAATTATATGATTCTTTAACATCTTAAGACAAAATTCACACACATAAAACTAATTTATAATTTTTGTATCGTGATTTGTATCTATAATGAATTATCTCATCAAATTTATTATGGAATAATGTTTAAAAAAACGAAATATTTATTTCTATGGTTGAATTCTATAGGAAATATGAAAACAATATTTTCTTTACAAATTACAATATACGTCTCAATTATAATCAAATCAATTTCATAATATTGGAGCCAGTCCAACACTAGGGCTTAGGGAGAGACATTAATTAATGATTAACAAAAAATATTGTAGATTGTATATTTTGCCATTACCTGATCTTCACTTACAGATTCATCCCCCAAATTCAGTCTTATATTATTGACAGCAGGAACAAAGAATTTCTGAAACAAAATAAACGAAAATTTTACCTGCACTCACTGATGATTAAATCTCATTATAGGCGATTGTGAGTAGGATTGAAGCGCAGAAAGATTATAGTTGTCACAATCTAACAGACCCCTTCTAACACCTGTCTTCGCAATGTAACTAGAGCTGCTAGATCGAAATCTGATAGCCTATTAAAAATTTGCAAAATATAAGTTAGTTATTTTAAAGTAGTATCGAATTGAGTTGGTGAATTCCGCAACCAATTGGTTACAACACTATTATTCGAAAAAGATAGATTAAGGATGTACTTATTTTTTATATATTTTGTAGTAATTAAAAATTTTATTTCGGAATTGATGCAAAAATGTATTCTGTCACATAATTTTTTATTTATTATTTTGTATAGATCTGCAATCAGTCCTTGAACCTTATGGTTCTATTTATACAGATCCATATGGAATAAAAAATCCCGTGACGTTTTTCTTCCTTAGTCATTACTCAGTTGATTATGTTCTACTGATTAACTTTCAGATTCGACGCTTTTCTTGAACCAAAGTGCTTGCCAACTACTACTAGTGGTGATACAAAGTCGTAGCCTGAAACTTTTTGACAGTCAAGATGTTTAATATGTGTGTAGCAACCTCCTTTGGTGTGATAGATTTAATTTAATGTCCGAATACAAAAAACTTCAACATTTACTTATTTTAGGAAATGAAACTATTTTTCCGAATTTAAATCGCGTATATTTATTTTTTCAAACAACGCGACGTTTCGGGCCCTTTACAGGTCCCATGGTCACGGTTGATTGAGGTTGTGTTATGTCTAATATTAATGCAAATCACCCTACTTTTCACTACAGTCAGAGAACAAAAAGTAAAGAGAACGGACACTCTCCGCCCCTCCCTAGCTTTAGATACCGCCCCACGCCCCGCACATTGCCGGTCACATTGACTGAACGACAACAAGGCTGCCGGCGAGCCGTTTTCGTGCGAAGACGGCTTTGATATTTGAATATAGTTTTTTTTTTTTTTTTTTTTTTTTATTGTATCTCGGCAAAATGACTGCACCGCGCCTGATGGAAAGTGCGAATACAGTCCAGAGATGAGAGTAACGGATGGAAAACACAAATATCTTCACTCCGTCACTATCATTTTGCCGGTCTGGCCAAATGCTTCTTCACACTACGTTTGAAGGACCCGATGTTATAGAGGGGAGGGAATACATGCGCCGGGAGTTTTCATTTATTCATTACGAAACTTGTACGTAAATATAAAACATCATTTTACGTTACTATTTATAATGGTCGTGCTGTGTACGGCTGTTTATCATCATTTTCCGAAAGATGAAACGAAGTAAGTAAAAAACTTATGTCTGAGACTCGTTCAGTTATTGTTTTCTTCATTTATTTACTGCAGAATAATATATGTATGTATAAAAAATACAGATTTATTATATCAATATAATGAGGCGCCATGACTTCGTGAGCTGGTAGACAAGGGTTCTCGAATTTTCAATACATATTGCCATAATATATATAAATAAATAATACGTAAGTATCGAATATACCTAATTAATGAGGAGCATATTATAGCCATTAACCATCTTCCACAGGCAATGTTCACCTTTGCCCAGTGCAGATAGAGATACAAGTTAGCTTGGTTAGAAACATTGCATCTTTTAGGTCTTAGAGTGATCTTCATGCAGATTAATTAAAAGCTGTTTTATGAGACTGTCATCTAGTCATGTGCCACAATCTTATTAGACATCGTTCTTAACCGACTTCAAAAAAAGTAGGAGGTTCACAATTCGACTTTTTTTTGTGTATATTACGCTATAGCTCTGGCATTTGTGAACAGATTTTGATGATTCTCTTTTTGTGGAAAGAGGTTACCTCAGTAGTGGTCCCATTTAAATTCGAAGAACATATTCCACCTTTAAGGGTGGCCAACTAGGGGATGAATGACTTTTGAGGTCGATTTTTTAGTACTCTTTAGTGAGATTATTTTATCTCAAATTCTTAACTATTTATATGTAGTGATAAATAGTGAATGAAGACTTTCGTAGTAAGTTCATAATTATTTGTTTTTTTTTTATTCAAATGTAAGTGTGCATTTGACCTGATGGAAAGTAACGATGGAGCATGCACACCTAAATAATACCTATTCACTCTCGCTTTGAAAAGGTCCAAATTATAACATTCAGGGAACAAGTCTGCAGGCAGGGAATTCCACTTCATGGCCATGTTTATTGTTTCATGTTTTCATTCCGATTTTTAAATGTTTCTTAGCTGTCAAAACGGGCCTATTACATTACAGTACAGGCAGTTTTCCGGGGCTTATGCCTGAAGCCAGGAATAGATTAAATTCCTGGCTTCAGGGATAAACCCCGGAATGTTCATCTCCATGAAGTTGATGAACTATTATAGTATTTTATATCCTCTGCCTGGAGCACATGTCGCCAGGGATGGTATTTATGCTGATTAGAAGGCAATAGTGGCTTAGGATATGATAAAGGCAGCACATCTGCATCTTTACATCTGCAATCTCTGCTCCTTAATATTGGATGTATTGGTGATGTTCATTGTTCCTTAAGAGCCTTTCTCGCATTTCTAAATTAACCTACTAACATTAGGACCTGTCGGCGTTGGGAAGATACTGACTATTTGAAACCACTGGGTCCTTAAGATGAACTAAATAAAATGGAGGTATTATACAAAACTGGTACCTGATTCTCTATTTAAGGTAAATTAGCATCTTCTCATAACTATATTATTTACTTTGGCAAAAGGTGCTTTGTTCCAATACGTTTAGCATAAATAGTGTATAGGTACACAATATATTCCAAACGCAATATTATGTTGAAAGTTCATTTATAAGATAGTGTGAACAATTTATGTATTAATTATTTAGCTATCATTGCCAGTAGTAAGGTGTTAAAGAAGTAAGGTATTCTTGACTAGGGGCTACTTTCTTAACTCTATGTAAAACTTCTTACCTCTAAATACTTCTTAATAACTTGATCGATCTCTCTTGTAACAGCAGATTGTAACGTTTGCCGCAGCATGTCAAGAGATTTATTGGCACTTGCTCGAAACTCTGATATCGGTCTTGAGTGAGGCTGCACTGGGCCTGGCAGGCTGAACCGTCTGTGCATTGCAGCTAGAGTGTTTATTGCTATTTGCCTTGTTACCGGCTGCTTCTGAAAAAATTCAAACTTTAGGCCTCTCATTACCATCATCTTATTATCTTACAACTAATAGTGTCCACTTAATATCATGTTTTATCACAGAACTCTGCAATATATCTGTTAGCCTAGTGGATGAAATTAGATATATAAGAAATTTCCCAAACCTCACTTTCAAATTGTTCTAATAATTTGCACACTTGTAGGTAATAGGTGAAGGTGCTATCGAATTTATAGCCGTCGTTGCTATCCATTTCCTGGATCCTTTGGTCATTATTTGAATTATTGTGAAAGAAAAATTCAACTCAATTCTAGTAAATTCTCAAAATTAGAAAAGAAAAAGGTATGTAGAGCTACTTAACAAATGATAAATTGGCTTCAACTATATATGACGAATATAAAACATTCCAACTATAGGGCTACTTACAACAGGGACACTAGTCGTAACCGTGCCCCGTATATTGACGACGGCTTTCGCAGGAGCTTGGAAGTTCCATGTTGAGCTTGAGGAGTTTTCTGAAGCTGTATTTTGATGAGACGCTTCTACATTATTCCAACTCTTTTGTACGACCATTTTGACTTGCATTGACTCATTTAATTATCTTTCCTATAATATATTTGCTTCAAATAAAATCTACGCGAAAATATCAATGCATTTTTGTATGAAACTATCTAATTGATTAGAACAAAAACACAAAACACTAGCATCATTGACTGGTCGGCCATTGTCGTTAATAAAATAGAGCGGCACCACACGAACCTAAATAATATAAAAGTCACAAGTAAGTACAGTCGATTACAAAATCAAATCGAATTGGGTCAAGTCGAGACATAGTATATTGTAGTCAACAGCACATCAAGCTTTTGTCTGACTAACTCATTCAGTGCAACGGAGCAAGATCCGTCAATGTGTAGCTTGATGTGTTGTGTCTAATATAATATGTTATATACAGGATCAAGAGCACGTCAAGCTTGACACTTAAGATTTAAATCCAACTCTATGCCGCTTGCGATAAGAACGGTCCAAAGTACAAAGTAAAGTACAAGTGTCAAGCTTGACATGCTCTTACCTACGTATGTATAGACAATAGAGCGAGTGGGTTTCCGCAAGTCAAAAGTCGCAGCACCTTTTTTATGTATATAGTTTGTATGTACGTACATACAATAAGAGGCAGTTAAATCTACATCATAAGAGTATAATGAATGAATAATCGTAACAGATTTTTATAGTTCAACTCAAACAAGATCACAAATTACTTAACAGCCATAATGGCTTAGCCACATGAGAATATTGCAAAAGCGGTGATATTAAAACTACACGGCTGAAAATTAATTTATTTCAACATAGAAGACAATGTCGAACAACTGTGTTGAAAAAATACAAACTAATAAAACTAATTTTTTGACAAGTCAGATCAAAATGTTGACTTTTAGTTTTAGATTTAATAAGATTTTTGTAGGTAATTTTTCTAAATATAATAAATTAAAAAAAATTCCGATTCTAAGGGTCGTATTCCAGAACTGTACTCAATGCTCAAGTCAGGATTTGAGCAGACTTGTGTATGATTTCAAGCACTGGGAATACGACCCTAATGGCAAGGACTTGAGTATGATTTCTAGTGCTTTGAATCATACTCAAGTCCTGACTTGAGCATTGAGAAGAGTTCTAGAATACGACCCTAAGAATCGGAATGTTTTATTTATGGTGAATTTTAAGAATCAGAATTATTTTATTTGTTGTATTTAGAAATACCTTCTATCTACAAAAATTTTAATAAACTTAAAACTTCTAGTTGGTCCAGGAAACCATGACCACCATCCATACCCATTATTGCGTTCAGGGTAAGATTGCTGGTGAAACTACATTCACATGATTTTATTAGAGATTATTCTGATAAATTTAATTTCTAATAACGTAGCTACATAATATTTATAATATTACGCAACTCTATGAACGTTTGTCACGCGCAAAATAATTGTGTTACAGTAAGCTCCATTTAAGCTAATAAAAAAAGATAGTATTATAGCTCGTTTACATAAGGCAAACAAAGGTAGAACGAGAAAATTGTGTTCGTTCAGCGTTTTAATCGCAAAAAGGTCGCGTTGACAGCTGAGCTGGTGACGTCAGTGAGTGTCGAAACTCGAAGTAGGAAAAATTTTATCTTGTCTTTTAGAACTTTCCCTGCGTCTAAGTACGACGTGTCCGCAACAAGATTTTTCGTATAAATTTCCTCATAAATAAGTGAAAGGTATGTACATAACTTAAAATCTATGCAACTCAAACAGACACTGATAAATTATAACGTTTACATTATCAAGTAATTACAGGCTTGCCTTGTCTCTCCCGTGAAGTGTTTGCCGGTCAATTTGTTACCTAGCGTTTCGGTCAAATATCATCAGTCGTTTGGGAGTACTCAGAAGAGAACGACAGGTCTTGAATTGTTTACTAAATATTCCTTACTATCACTGACGTTGCTACTTTATTAGGTAAGTGCATATTATATTATGGCACAGTTTCTGGATACTATATTATTTGTAAACTGCTTTATGAAGTAATTCACTGTAGTGAATTCTCAGTGAATTTCAAAACCTCATTGAACTTTGTACTGTGGTAACAAACAAGTTCTTTTCAAGGTTCTTGTTTGATTTACAATGGCAATTCCATGTAAATTGACTTTTATTTGCTAATTTGTGACTTATGCAATACTCTTTTACTTTAAGTCGGTACTTGCTCATCCAAGTACCCATTTAAAACGTTTAGCGCCAAGGGCCTCTGAGACTTTTTTACTTATATATTATTGGTATTAATTTAGTGTGTGGAATTAATATTATGACCCTGTGCCCCTTTATTCGTTTTGTTTTGTTCAGTTCTTTCAGGCAGGATACATTGGCCTGGGAGTTTTTTTTCTACATTTTGCAAAATGTATCTAAAATGCAATAAACATAAACACTTAATAATTAATGAGTACAAAATATAATCATTTATAAGTTTTTTGTACTAAATTTGATCTCATTCAATATTAATTGAGTAATTAAAAAACAAAAAGTAGTTGAAACTATATATTTAATTGTTATATTATTATGTGAAGATTTTGTACATTTGTGTATAGTTGTTCTGGACTATTGGTAGGGGATTGACACTATGGAATCTGGTCCTACAGCATCCGTGTCCGACCCTTTTCTGGCTAGTTTATCTGCTGCGTCATTGCAACGTGAGCCGCTGTGTCCTTTAATCCACTGTAGAGTTACATGGTTTTGTATACATACCTCCATGAGTGCTTGATGGTTTTCGTAAATGAACCCTGAGTTTATGTCATAGCTATTCAGTGCTTGAAGTACTGACAATCTGTCGGATAGTATTCAAATGGAGTAATTCTTTACTCTTCTCGCTATGATTGAGTCTGCCACCAGCTTGATGCCCATGCATTCAGCTTGGAATACTGTGTTGTGGTCACCAAGCGGTGTTGATATCCTGATATTGAGGTCTTCTGAGAATACCCCAGTACCTGTTCCTGAATTTGTTTTAGATCCATCAGTGAAGACTCGGACCTATCTGGAGTTCAGTCCTTCGTTGGGATCTTCAAACAATTGTATCTTGTATTTTTTGTCAAAGATGTACTGATTTGGGATCCTATCCACAGTCGCCTCCAGTTCCTCATTGACAGTCTTATAAAGGATGTCTGTATGTGGGGTCCTCATGTGCTTCCAAAGGCCGGCTCTGTTTAGACGCACTGCTGTTGACGCCGCTTCCTGCCTTATGAACAGTGGGACGGGTCGCAGATCCAGTGTCGCTTCGAGGGCCGCAGTTGGAGTTGTCCTCATGCAGCCGGTCGTCGCCATGCAAGCAAGTCTTTGGAATTTGTCCAGCTTGTCGGTTGCGGTCGTCAATGTGGTTCGTGGCCATCATTCTATCGCGCCGTAACTGACCATGAGTCTTATCACCGTTGTGTAGAGCCATAGAGTTATCTTAGGTGAAAGTCCCCATTGTTTACCTACCATTCTATGGCACTGCCAGAAGGTGATAGTAGCTTTTTCATTTTGTTGTCCAGCTTGTTCCAGTTCAACTTGGTGTCCAGTATTACTCCCAAGTACTTGACTTCGGTTGATATCTGAAGTTCTGTACTGAAGAGTTTGTGTAGAAGGTAGTTACCTAGTAGTCTTTCGTTTGTAAACATTACTAGTTCCGTCTTTGTTGGGTTTACCGATAGTTCGTATGCTCTGCACCATCTTTCCACAATCCGGAGAGCAGCTTGTGTAATGTCGCAGAGTGTATTGGCATAATTTCCTGTTACCAGTATAGCTATGTCATCAGCGTATCCTACTGTATAGAAATGTTCTTTGTTTAGTTTAATGATGAGGTCATTTACGACCATGTTCCATTGCAGAGGCTACAATACCCCTCCTTGAGGGCACCCCTTCGCTACTATGGCCCATGGGGTGCCATTTGTTGTTGTTTTTACTGTTCTTTGTTTCAGCATGTTGCTAATCCAGCTAATTAGCACTTCATCCACTTCGTGTCTTCTCAGTGCTGATTGTATGCTGGAGAAGTTCGTTTTATCGAAGGCTCCTTCAATATCTATAAAGGTGCCTAGGCAGATTGCTTTGTCTTTGAGGGTCACTTCTATCTTGCCCACAACGGCATGTAGGGCCGATTTAGTGGATTTGCCTTGGCTGTATGCATGTTGATTTCCGTGTAATGGTATGTTCTTAAGCGCTCCATCCCTCATCTCTCTGTCACATGACCTGTCTAATGTGTTCAAGAAGAACGATGTGAGGCTGATTGGTCTGAAGGACTTCGCGCCAGTGTAGTCGGATTTTACTGGTTTCGGTATAAATATGACTTTTACCTCTCGCCAGCTGTGGGGCACATAGCTGAATGCTAGACAGGCCCGAAAGATGTTGACCAGGTGCTGGACCAGTGTGTCCCCGCCCCATTGTAGGAGTGCGGGGAATACTCCATCTTGGCCCGGAGCTTTGTACGGTTCAAAGGTGTTTACTGTCCATTTTGTCTTTTCGTATGTTACTACTTGTTCAGGTATCGCCAGTTATGGATTGATGTTATGTAGTTCATTTCTTCGCACCTGTCGTCTTGGACGAACCTACATCCTGGGAAATGTGCTTCCAGTTGGGTTCTTTCCGTTTCCGTAGGGGAAGTTGTGTATGTGTTGTCTATTTTGCGTATTGAACCTAGCTCAGTTGAATTTTCCTTATTCTGTTTCCTTGTGCACAAGACGTGATGTTCCCACAGTAGCCTCGCCATGACGTGGTGCTCCTGAATCCTCATCCGCACATGTGTTCTATGCACTATTGAAGCGTCTCTTTACCCTTCTTCGTAGTCTCTCAAGCTCAGGCCCCCACCAGTGTTGGCCTTGTTGCGGGACTGAGTCACTCAGCGGGCATGCAGAGTTATAGCTGTTCAATATGTTTGATGTAAGTTCTTTAACCTGTGTTTCTATCTGTGCTTGGTCCAGCAGTCTTCCCGGTGCTACCGGTTCCTCAGGCTCTGGTGTAGTTTGTCCGTGTATAGTTTACGATAAATTTTTCGGGGATTCCGTTTCGGTTGTTGTTCTTTGACGGCTGTTTTTAAGCTGAATATTATCCATCGTGGTCCGAGAAAGATGCTTCTTCGGACACGTGCAAGTTGTGGATAAGGTCCACTGCTCCTTCTGACTTCTACTAGGGTTCCTACCACTAAACTATCATAGATATTTAAGTCCCAAAAACACTGAACAATTTGTGAGGGCTTTCAAACGCTCATTCAAAATGTTCGAAACTATGTACATATGTATACACTGAGATATGCCTAAGGAGGCAAGCCTTACCTGTGTATAGTCAGGGATACACTGGCCTGAGACAAACATTGGGTGTATATCAGGGTATACACGTGGCAGTGAACATGTTAAAGAAAAATATTTTCATGTATTATCTATCTATCACAAACTAGGCAATACAAATATGAAAGATGTTAAAAGATGAAAAAATGTGGTTACATATACATCATGACTTGTACTAATGTACACATGACTATTTGTAAAATATTAACAACAACACAGGACTATTGTTACTAACAAAATAGACAAAAAGTTTTGTTTCATGAATTTTTACAAAACAATAAATTTACCAAAAATGAACTTGCAAGTTTTTGTTGTACAGTCGGACACTTTTTAGATCTGTGGTAGATAGTAGGGCAGTGGGACTATTTGTAAAATATTAACAACAACACAGGACTATTGTTACTAACAAAATAGACAAAAAAATTTGGTTCATGAATTTTTACAAAACAATAAATTTACCAAAAATGAACTTGCCAGTTTTTGTTGTACAGTCGGACACTTTTTAGATCTCTGGTAGATAGTAGGGCAGTAAGTTGAAATGTGCAATCATCTTCCTCTACGACTCCCACCCTCACTTCTACTGTTACCGCACAAAGTTATCATTGTTTAGACCAATCTATTTAAATATTTCATATTTTTTATAGAAGTATAATCTGATGAATTGTTAGAAGTCAGTTGTTTATGATGTTTGTAATATAGTCGTCAGCACGCTTAAGCACAAATGTAAAAAATACTAAATTTTTTAAAACGTATTTATAATTGTTTGTGTTGCTTATAATGTTGGAAGATGTGAGGAGGATGATAAGGTTGAAAAAGACGTCACTAGAACTTAAGGTGAAACAATAAATTTTACTTATATGCTTTTGTCAAGCAATGAATAAACTTATGTGGTTTAGTGTGCCAAACCTAGATACAAATATAATTCAGTAAACCTACATAATGATGACTGAAGAAGTATCAATATTAATCATATACACAAAACGCACACACCAGAATCATAAGCAAAGATTAGAATAGGCAGAGTATATTGTACACTTAGAATGGGTAATGCCTGCCTATGTAATTATTTTTGGGAAAAAACGTTTTTCTAAACTCTCTACGATTGTAAAATGATTGTTAGTTACATGTCGACTATATAGAACAAAATACAGTAAAACAATTCTGTGACTTTGCCTTTTCTGATCTCTGATCATACAGCTTGAAAGATAATTTTAATCTTGCATCTCTGATTTAATAATCGTGATTGGATAATTATGATACTCGATTTTTCCCGTTGCAATTAGATCACCCTTGAATTCCCTTATTATTTGACACTTAATGCTTAAATCCAACTCTATGCCGCTTAAGATAAGAACGGTCCAAAGTACAAAGTGTCAAGCTTGACGTGTTCTTGTCTGTACACATAGTTAATGTAACGAGTTTAATAATGATTACTATTTTTAATTTCGTACATAATATACTATAAAATAAACACTATTTATACATAATTACAGGTAATAGAGCATTTTTTCCATCCATCAGATGTTAAATAAAAAATGTGCCAAACAATCACACCCATTATCTGATCTCAAACTAGAGAATTTCCTGTGGTATGAGAGTACCAGGATACTCCCAGATACCCGGAACACCCAGGCTAGAACTAATTTAGAAAGA